AGCAAGGGCAGCAGTTGTACTTTGCAGTAGCATTCGACATCATATTATCCCCCCCAGAAGTGTGCTATGTTTGTATTCTTGAGATAATTTTAAGTCACTCTCTAGCAAAGGCAGAAGTTAGTCATTATGTTTCATACCTGTAGCTCCATAATAGCACTTTCTCATAAAGGAAGACGTCCATGTTTATACATACATATGTAAACTTCACTTTCTAGTCAGGGCAGAAGTGGGTTATGCGTTACTTACCTTTGGCAACCTCATATTGTATATTTTCAAGCGGGTAGTTATAAGATGAGCATAAATGAAATATTTGCTAACGAATAAGATTTTTATGCTTCTTATAACTTCCTCATTTGTTGTAGTTCTTAAGTTGCTATGAAAGCATAGACACTTCACCATTCACATGGCAACCGTCATTAGGCCCAAACCGAGCATGCGCTCTCAGCCTTGGCCATCCCAGATCACGTGAATAGTCTTGTGGGTCCAGTTGCCCCAAAACTTGCTTACAGAGAGTTTCAATTTTTTTCCCCTACCAGCCCGGCCCGGCTGTACATGAGTTTGGCGTTTGTTTTGCCCTCACCTTTCCTGGGCCAAATTCAAGCAATTTAATTTTTTAATGTTGTTACTGGATTGAACTTATCTTACTTATTAAACTGGCTTTGGGTTTTACCCAGAGTCCTTTACGTTCAACCTTGGCTTGCTTATTTACCCGTGGCCCAGCAAGCAGAGCTCAGGCAAAGCAGCATGACCAGCACTTATTTTCAAGGGGGTAGTTCTAAGATGGGCATAAAGGTTTTATTTATTTTATTTAACAACCATTAAGCCATTTGCTAAAAAAAAAAAATAAGGAGACCAACAGGCATAAGCGACTTCTTCAAACGGTCATTGAGGATCTGTTGACATGATTAACATGTGGTATAATATTAGGATATGTTGTAGGTTTCTTTTCATATTTATAACGTTCAATTACATACCTTAGGGGAGCATCGAACGATTGCCAAGCTTTTTTTGTTTAGGAAAGAACGTTATCACCAAAGAATTGCCACGGCAGTCTCAAAGAACGTGCAATATCACTCGGATCAATAAAAGAAGAGGAGGACTTCTGCCAAGCTTGATTACTTTATGTGAGATCTCCCGTCTAGATCCCTCAGTTTATATAGTTTTCCTTCTAAATCCGCAATGGTTAAGTTGAATGAATTAATAGTACAAATAAGTTAAGACATTAAATGACCTACTTCTCAGCTGTAGAAATTGTTCTCGCCTTCTTTCCAGCAAATTCTTCTCAAATAGCCTTGAATGGTCATTTTGGTAGGAGGGACTGAAAATCTTTTCAGGCTAGATCTTACAGTTATGCTTTAGATTCCGTTATTCTGCTCTTTATGAAATCGTAAGCCAAGGGAACATCAACAGAATCTGATTAAAAGTGTTTCAATCCTTTTACACTCCATTTACCTCTTGCTTCTTTCGAGGATTTGAATTTCAGCGTTTAGTGTTTTTTTTACATCAGACGGGTTGCAATTAGAACCTTATCATTTTCTGAATTTATTACTGTGACGACTCCGTCGCTTTGGAAACCAAGATGATCAAGCAAAAATAAGGACTGGATGATCTTCTGATAAATTCTAAGGCAAAACATTTTACACCAAACACTAAAGTAACAGCACTCACACACCCTCCAGTAACTCTAGCAGCAGTAAAGGGACGGGCGGAAATTTTCGCCCAAACTCGATTGGTGGAGATGAATTCAAAAGTTAAAGTATCAAATGAAATGTAAATGTATTCAGTTACAAGCAACTTATGTAAATTGGACAAAATAATTGAAAAAGGAAGGTAAAAATACAGGCTTCAGAGAGAGATTCTTGTTCCTGAAATATATCGAAACATAATTACTGACTCCTTAAATGGAACCATCATGTTAGTAGACAAAAAGCTTGTCTTTTGCTGTACACAAACATGCATTGAACAAAGGGACATGTTTAATACTCACGCGACTTGTCTAAATATTCATTTGATGAAAAATTCTAGAACTGACGGTAAATGATGTTTTATCCGATCAGTATCAGTTTTGCGCTTCGTTTTTCAAAGGGTTGATATTTCCTAAAAGTATTGTTCAATAGAAGATTTATCTTAATATTAAAACCGTACAATTTCAGAATTTTTGAAAATTGTCAATGCAAACCTACACAATTATCTTTCCGTGAGTTTTTAGTATACAACGATTCTAGTACGCACAATCTACAACGTCGATTTATATGTGCAAGAGGCTCGTTCGTTTTTCGCTTCTGAGCAGAAAATTTACAATTCTTTGAATAAAGATTCAGTCTTGAAACATTTCTTGGTCGTTTGTACCTTGCACTTTATTTATAGTTACTTAGTAAACCCAATACAGTTGTAATAGACTCTTTTTTTTCGCTTGCAACTATAACTCGATATACGCATAGAACAATTCTTTGTAAACATGACTAAAAAAAACAGAGAAATATGTTTTCAAAAAGAATTACGGTTATTCATGATTTCTTAAAATATATTACAAGAGGCATATCATTTAGGAATCTTTAATTTCACCCCAAAAGCTTTCAGTCATTTTTACGTGAAATAAGTTAGGTCATTTGCTACCTGGATATATGCATGCATATATACATGCTCATCTTAAAGAGGTGCACGTGGGTATGCATAGTGGCTTTTGCTGTGTGGCTGCCTGGTGTATTGGAAGTGTGCTCCCCTACCCTCTATTTAAATTCGTCTTATTTAAATTTTCTAGACTTTTAACTTTCTAAATTCTGTATATACATTCTATTGCTGCTTATATGATTGTCTGTAACAATTTTATATGTTGATGCTTTATATATATATTAATGATATTTTGAGAATATATCCTTGAAATTTTTTTTACCTATACTCTATTAATCTTATGTTATACTCATGTTATTCATTTATAGTGTCCACAATTAGCTTTTAGCTAAATACCTTGACACTTCAATAAAGTTTATGTATGTATGTATGTATGTAGCTATGTATGTATGCATAGAGCAACAAAAAGGTCGTGAGTGACTTTTGAAACGGTTATTGATGATCTCTTAACATGATTCACACGAGGTGAAGTATCTCGTATTTCATTGGTTTAGTTACACTTCAATTGCATACCTAAGGTGAGCACTGGACGATTTTCAAGGTTTGTTTTTGTTACCTACAGCAGTACTCAAGGAAGAAATGTCTTGAGTCAAGCGTGGCTACTTCAACTGTAATCTTGTAGAAATCCTTCAATTTATACAGTTTTCCTACGAAATACGTAACAGCTTATTTCAATAAATAAATAGTACAGCCTCTGAACAGACTGAACAGTTAAAGTAATTTCATTCTTCACAGCTGCAGACAATATTTTTGCTCCTGTTCCTCCAAGAAAATTTCCTAAAATAGCTTAAAATTGTCATTTTGCCTGGAGGGAATGGTTTTTTTTTTAAGACTGATCGTACAGCCATGCTTTAGACTCAAATATTCTACTTTTTACGAAATCAAAAGCCATAGAAAACTCAATGGAATAAAATGAAAGGAACAGTTCCAGTCCTTTACACTCCATTTACCTCGTATTTCCGTTGAATTTTCTTTTTTTTACTTACACCTCTTAATAATGTTCCACTCACGGCTATGTCTATTGGGAAACTGCAATGATCAAGCATATGCTTGGCCGCAGAAGAACTGAACGATTTTCTGATATTCTGAGGAAAGAACATTTTACCAAACATAGACGTAACAGCACTAAATCGCAAATACCCTCCAGTAACACTCGCATCGGTGAAAGGAGAGCGGAAATCTTCGCGTAAACTCGATCGGCGGAGATGAATATAAAAACCGAGTCGAAATATGAAATTAAAATTGCATATATTTTAATATGCAACCAGTATAAATTAAAAACGAGAGTTGAACTAGACAGGCTTCAGAGGATGAATCTTCTTCTTCTCAGAGTAGAACCATCATGTTAGTAAACAAAACGCTGGTTTTTTTTTTTGTGTGTGTGTGCACAAACATCATGTATTAAACAACGGATATGTTTTCCGTCACAGGCGACTTGCCTGAAATTCAGTTTATGAAAAAATCTACAACTGAAGGTAAATGATGTTTTATCTTGATATCAGTTGGTGAACGAAAGAATGTTAAGTCGATGATAATCAATCAAACGGACTTGTTTCTTATCGTTAGTTCAAGATGGGAAGAGTAGACGTAAAAGCAATTCGATTATTCAGGAAGGAGATATTTGAAGCTCTCTTTTTTTTTAACTGAAACAACATGGACATCATACTCTTTAAAAGTGCGGATGGAGACAGGACAGGTGCATTTCGCTCATGCTAGATTTGAATTACTAATGGACTCAATTTTGGTGTTCACTTCCACATCGTAAAGGTGTTTGCCGAGAAAAGAAACAATCGCGTTTTTGGCTTGCGTTCGCTTATTATCGGGTGTCCGTTTAAAATGGTGTTTGCGTGATCCAATGTTCCTGTTTTACCGTAAATCAAGTAATAACACGGAAGAAGATCTGCCAGGAGCTTTTATCTTTGCGCTGAGATAATTTTCACGCACGTTTTTATTCGTTAAGCAGGCCTATTAACGGTTAGTTGCGTACAAAGCACTAGGGTGGACTAAAATTTCTCATAGAGGTAAATTGATTGTCGCACCGAAAAGGAAGAAATTTGAGTGTATGCACGTTCAGCTGCATTAGGAATTTGAATATATGAATAGGGTTCGGTTAGTGTTGTTTGAGAAACCATCAATCGTCTTGTTGTTCATTACTTATATAAATGTATTACACCCGATCCGTATGGTACCATCGTGGTTTATCTCTTTTATCTGAAATGTATAACTTAGTATTTATTATTATAAGCCAGAGCCTACAAAAGTCATATACAACGACAAACAACATAAAAAAGCAGCTGTTCAGAATCTTTGAGGCTCTCAGCCATTTATTGCTAATAACGCTTCAGCCTAAACTAAAGATTATGGAGTGCTTATTCCAGCGGATTTATACGGTTATCGGGCGTCTTGCAGAATACCACTTTTGATATTCCTGCCCTAACGTGTGGCATTCGCACTGCATAGGATATAGGATTAATTAGCGAGTTGGCCAGGAATAATAGTAGCGTAGTGTTAGAAATTTGAAAATGTAAGGTAAATTTTGGAATGGCTATGATATGATACATAATCATACTTTCGTAAATAACAACCGGCACAAAAGTTAATAATGATGCACATGTGGCAAAAAACAATGTACTCGTCAGTTTTCTTTCCCTCAGACCGGCTGCACAATGGTGTTGAGGACGACGACTGCAATGAACTTTGATAGCGATGGATATATAAGAGACGCAAATGAGAACGAGAAGGCTGAAATAAGAAGAACCAACCCAAATGTAATTGAAAGGCCAATCGGTAAACCCTTCTATAGCACCCTTACAAACTGTGGATAAATGAATTAAAGCTATGAATATTCCATAAACCCATTTCTTTATAAAACGATGCTTGAAAGGGCGATATGTTGCGTGTGCTCGTTCCAACGAAATGAAAGTGAGATTAACAAGAGATGCAAAGGGGAAAAAAGGTCTTATTGCTAAATTTATTCTTAAGTAAGTTATATCATAACTCTCCAGCTCTCCGTAACACAAAGCCATTCTTAAATGAATCTGCATCGGTCCTGATACTGCTCCGACTAACAAATCAACTATGGCCAGATGGATGATCAAGTATTTACTCCGGCGCTGTAGCTGGGGCTGCTTCACAAACACAATAATGGCGATGATGTTAAAGATGACTATGGCCAGACATTCAGTGCTGAGCGCAATAAGCCATGGAATACAGGAGGAGGCTGGGAGCGACCTCTGGTGCTCGAGGCTTGTGATATTGTGAGAAACTTTACTGGAATCAGAAGCCATTTAGTTTCGCTGAAATTGGTTCGCCGCAAGCCAAATAATCTAAACATAAATGAAAATGAAAAGATATTTGGGGCAAATAACGAGTCGACATTCTGGGACAAGGATTACCGCTCATCCTATTTCATTTTGCAAGATTGTAGTTGTATGTTATACCAGCAATCGGAGAGATTTGCCCTATCTAAACCGACGAGTGATTCTAAACAATTGTAACAGACCTCTTATTAAGAATAAAAATTTGTACGAACTATCAAATATGTTCAGAGTCAAATAGTTTTATTTCCAAAGCGAAGATTAGTGCCTTCAGCTTGCTCTATTTTCTTATAAAACACGATGCAACACGCCAACCAGAATCCTTGTGAGAATGGTTTAACTAATCTAATGAGTTAAACAAGCTAAAGCCGTCAAAAATTTTAAACTGCCGAAGTTCGCAAACCATCAACGTCCATAATCTGTAATAGTTCACAAAATGAAATAGTTCGGCAGGTCAAACTTAACACCTTTGCCTGAAGTTATTTTTTTCGATACGGAATCTGAGAGTGATGTGTTTAGAGAAATCCGGCCGAATTGTGACTTATAAAAACAAACAAGGTGTTTCTCATGACAATTAGAAAACAAATTGCTTAATGCGTGTGTTTTATGAATGGACCTTAGCATAATCGCGGTCGCTCTTGCACTATTATGATTTGTATGCTTTACAACAGTTGTGCCAGTTTGGTTATATTTTTCATCATTCCTGTTTTGTTTTGCTTTTGAACAGAAAACTATGCACAATATACGGGTGTTGGCTGTGTATGATTTTTCTAACCGTACGTAAGCTTACCATGGCGAAAACCTTTAAAACTCGGGCTGTCTATATCCAAACTTATTATAAACAGTCATTGGTGATTCCTTCACATGATTTACACGAGGTAAAATAGCTTGGAATCTTTAGGCTAAATTACATTTCAATTACATACCTCTGGTGAGCACTGGATGATTTCCAAGTTTTTTTTCTTTAGGACAAAAATTTATCACGACAGCATCACTCAAAAAGCCTCAAATATCTTTTGTACCAGTAAAAGGGAGAAGTGACTTTGGTCAAGCTTTGCTAATTCAATTGTAGTCCCCTGCCGAAATCCTACTTTTTATATAATTTTCCTGCGAAGTACGTAGTGGCTAATTTGAATGAATAAATAGAACAACTGGAAAGGAGAGGACATAAATAAAATATGTTAATATATGAAATGACTTTATACTTTACAAGAGCAGACCTTATTTTAATCCAGTTTCCTCCCAGAAATTTCTTAAAATAGCTTACAATGGGCCTTTGTTTGGAGGGAATGAGTTTATTTTAAGGCTGATCCTACAGTTTTGCTCTAGATTCCGTGATTCTACTTTTTATGAAACCAGCTACTTAGCGCTTCCTTCTATATGTATATATATATTTTAAACTAGATGGTTCTTGATTAAAACATTTCCCTCTCCTTAATATTATTCCGTTCACAACTTTGTCGCCCACCGTTGTGCTTCGTTATCAGATAAAAAACAGCTGGTGAATAAAAGCAAGAAAACAAAGGTGTTAAAGCATTTTCATTAGTCAAAAAGATCAGTTATTTACACACTATAGTCTGGCACGCATCAAAAGATAAGTAGAATGTTAATTGCGTCGATGTCGAATTTATTGATTGAGACTGAGTTGTCTCAATTTGGAAATGTCTCCTTTAGCAGACAATTTGGCAGTTTTCTTAGTTTATTCTATTCAAATAAAAATAAAATTTGAACTACTACTATTTTCAAAAGAATGCTTTGCGAAAAGCCGGTCATGCCGAAAAAAGACACATGAATGGTAGTCGTTATTCCTTATATCGAAGAAAGCACTAAACTATTAGCTTGTGTAGCTGGTGTTCTGTTTTTTTTTTGCGCTTTACAGCGATGAAAGTGAAAGCGAAGAAAACAGGCAACGAAGTAACAGCACTCCAAAATAAAACGAAGAATTGAAAGAAGGGAGTATACAGTCTTTAGATGACGAATACTATCTCCTATAATAAAACCAGTACGTTAGCAAACATTCCTCTTGCCAAATTATTGCGTTTCTTTGCGCACAAACACTTCAACATCGGGATATGTTTACTACCCAAGTGACTTGTCTGAACTTCACTTTTATCTGATATGATGCGTTACACGAAAGTCATCAAGGCGACGGTAATCAATTGAACGAGCTGTTTCTTGTCGTTCGTCCGAAATGGGAAGAGTGGACGCGAAGGCAATTTGATAATTCTGGAGGGAGATATCTGAGGCTCCCACTTGCCTGGTTATTTTCCCTGCTGGTTATATAAATAGTCAAGTGAATCACACACTAGATCGCTCCTTGCTTTCTCTGGGCGTATGCAGGGAACCTGCAGGTAATACCACAACACATTGTTAAGACGTTCTGTGCTTTTTTTCTCATCTTGTTCCCCTTTACGATAAAACCTTTTCATGTAAGCGGACAGCCATGGGATCCTTGCCTGATGATTCTCAATACAGACTGTCTGTTGTATCCAGATTGTAGCAAACAAAGATAAACGTTTCACTCTTCTACATCCTCAATCATAGTTACTATTGCCGCAGGAACTTCATAAAACATAGCTTTTTCCAGCCAAATTTCTCGCGAGCGCACCCGTGACAGCGCATAGTCAAGGGAAAATCACTCTCAAATACAGTTGGAGAAAAAGTAGGTGCGTTCCACTTTTGCCATGTTGTAGCTCAACATATTTTTTATCAACGTGGTGGTGAGTTTAGTTCTCCTAAGCCGTATACTGAAAAATTGCTAGAGTGAACTGAACACCATTTTATAACAGTAAATCGTTCATAAACTAGGAGAGAAAATCTACTATTAAACCTCTTAGAGTTTGCTGTAAGCAAAATTTTTTGAGTCACAAAAGGACTCACTTACGGGTACTTGCGCGCAATTTGGGTACAAAACGACCGACTACAGCTTTTCCTTTGTTTCTAAATGCTGTTCATCACTTATATGAATTATAGTGCGATCCGTATGGTACACACTTTGTTTGTCTCTTTGTTCTTTAATGTGTCAAAACTTGGGGTTTTTCATACAAGTCAGACAAAACACAAAATATGTTTAACGACAAAGAAAAAACCTAAATAGTGATATTGAAAATTAGAGCTGTACAGATTCTTAGAATCGCATAACCATTTTGTATATAGTATTTACATGTCTGGATCAAACCTATCGCAGAAGAAGTATCGACCAGTCCCGGGTTGTTTGAAGGTTAGATAACGATATCCACTCAATAAATCTCTATCCGGAGCATGGCGCAGTACGTTTTACTATCACGAATCCACTAGTTAGACATTAATCCGTTGGATAGCGTTATCCGCCCCTTTTTTTATCTGGGCCTTGAACTAAAGATTACGAAGTGGATATTCGGCCGGGATTCAGTGGTCTTGGGGTGTCCTGTAGACAACCATTTTTGATATACCTGCCCTAAATTCTGTCATCCGCACCACATAGAGTATAGGATTTGTAAATAAGGATAGACGAAGCCTCTAAAGAAAACGATGACTTTACTACTCGCAAAAACCGCCTCGAGTAACAGGTACAAGAGTTTTTAAAGACCCTGCCTTAGCTACCGCGCCTAGCTTAGTAACCCCTACTACAATACTCGGTACCAGTCTTACACTATCCCCTCCTAGGAGAGAGCAAATTCCAAAAATTATGAAAAAATATATCAAGTGCAGTTCAGCCTTAAAATTTCAAATAGCATTTCAAGTGTCCATTTGATAGCCTCGCGTCCAGAAGGGTGGATGCCTCTCTCTTTGAGACCTTCTGACTGGTTCCTCTGCTTGGGGAGGGTGCTGAACAGGCAAGTGATCCTCCGAGGGTGCTTCTACGACAGCTTCCGGGAAAATGTCATCTTCCAACACGATCACTCCTGCATCACTGCCCACTTGTGTCGGAGAAGGACGCGAGACTTCAGTAGGTCCTGTCTCACCCACAACCCCGCCTTGACCCTTTTCGCCGCCTCCCTCGAAGGGTTTCAACTAATCCAACAGTCGAACACTTTCCTAGCAACGGTCTCAGACTTCTGATTCCTAAGTGGGTACAATTCCAGCCACTTGGTGAAATGATCGACCACCACTAAACAGTACCGGTATCCTTGAGAGCTCAAAGGGTATTCTACGATATCCATTGATACCATTTCCCCAGGGCGACAGCTGATGATTGGTTGCAGCAGAGCTCTTCTTGCAAGAACTGAGTTTTTCCTCCTCTGGCATGGCAAGCAGTTCCTGCACCATTCCTCTATGTCGAAAGACATAGGCGGCCAGAAAATCCTCTCCTTGACCCGAACAGAGGTCTTGGTCGTACCAAACTTGCCCAAGTTATCGTGCAAGATCTGAAGAACTCTGGGAGTAAGATTTCGGGGAACAACTATGTGTCCTGAGCCAGGGTTCCCAATGCTTCTACGCCTAAGGATACCGTCTTTCCCCAAACTCAGGTTTAGCCACTCTTTAAGAAAAGCCCTGAGCTCCACGTTGTCCACACTTTCTGGAGAGGAAGCTTTAGACACCAACAAAGACTTGATTTGGGAAAGTGTTGGGCAACTGTCTTTTTTTTGTCTGACAAAATCGAGGGACCATGCTTCCTGTCCACAGCGTTCACTCCTTGGAATCTACTTAAGGCATCTGCAACTATATTCCTGCTTCCTGCGATCTGGTAAACTTTGCACTGGAACTCTCTGAATTTTTCGACCCATCTCCACAATCGACCACTGCGTTCCTTGGTTCGGGTCAGTAGCCACTTCAGAGATTCGTGATCAGTGAACAAGTCAAACTCGCGTCCAAGTAAATATGGATGATAGGCTTTTATGGCCTCAATTACCGCAAGGCATTCCTTTTCCGTAGTTGAATAATTGCATTCAGACTTGTCGAGTCTCCGTCCACCAAAAGCCACTGGTCTTCTACTCCCACTATCATCAGAATGCTCCAGAACGAAACCCACTGCTCTGTTAGAGGCATCACAAGAAACAGTAAAACGTCG